CCTTTTGACTCACTGGGGCACAGTGTTACACCGCAAACACTCTTCAGGCCAAAGCAATCCCGAAGAAACGTAAGGAAGACCGTTAATGCAGTGGAAACAGCCAACAGAATGGCCTTATTTGATCAAGAAGCGCCCAAAAATGAAAAGGAACATTATTAGCAATGAAACAACAGCTGATCAGAGTATTAAAGTAACTAGCCAGCTTTGATGCCACGTGCTTCTGTCTTGGATCCTGAGGTCGGCCGGCCGTAATCTCTGGCACTCGTGTCATATTTTGGCACTGAATATGTCTCCGAAAATGGATTTCTGCAATAAATTAGAGGTAAGGCAGTAACGAATTTATCCTTAGGAAATATTTAGTAAGTTTATTCCAATATTACATGTTCGAAATGACCAGACAAGTTTGCAGTCTGCGTTTCATCCTTTAGCTGCAAGCATAGACAGAGCAGCGGTTAGGAGTAGAAATCGACAGCGCAGCCTCTTACTCGGCAGGTAAGAAAAACGCAGATTTAAATAAGTACAACATAATAAATAATGATATACTGAAGTGTTAAAGTTGTAGGAGAATAATAGAAAAAAGAAAAAGGAACAATGAGAGATGGGAAAAATTGACTGGCAAATCAGTTAGTAGTACAAAAAACAAGAAAAAATAACTTGAGTATATGCATACTTGCGAGAATTATATAATTCTCGTTTTTACTCGCTTGTTCTGCTGTGTTCACAGCTAAGGGATGAAACACAGATGGCTCTCCAATATGCACGCAAGGTATTTAGATGCATTATCTCTGATCGTAACTTCTGCTGCACGCAAACTGATTTGTCCAGAATAAAAAAAAAATATCAAAAAGTCCACGGCATCAGCAAAAAAAAGCATGCTTGTGTGTTCGATAAAAATGTGAAGGAAGAAGAAAAACGAACTTATCAAGTTTCTCTTTATTCATATTAGCAATATTATTGAACATGTTGATTGTATCACGTGCACTGCCTCTTCGCCCGGCAAGCCGTAGATCCCAGCTTCGTGTCGTTGCACTGTTAATGGGAATCCGGTTAGATACAGGAACGTGGATTAAGTAAACTTTATGAATCTCCATCTTATTAAGATTAAAAATACCAAATAATGAGTTAGGACAAAAATTACTTGTCAACTTTGTTTCGGTCCTCGGTGTTTGTACTAGGATTTTGCGCGCCATCGACATCCTTCGTCGTTGAAACTTTGACAGGCGCACTAGATAAAGAAAGATGTAAAATTTCATGTTAAAATATTGCCATCTAAATACAGCTCAGAAAGTTTACTTCAAATTCTTTAGCATTATTTTTGGTTCATTTTTTAAATCTGCCCGTTGAGCTCGAGGAATGAGTTTGAAATTCCAAAAACAAGCTGTTTTACTGAGGATGTAAGCCCCCTCTTTTCTTGTTTTGGTAGAAATCGGGAGTGTTGCAGATTTTGAGAATGTTGTCTCTCTGCTGGTTATGACATAAATCATTAATAATAACAACAATAATAATAATAATAATAGTAGTAGTAATAATGACAATAATAATAGTGATAATAATAATAATGATAATAATAATAATGATAATAATAATAATGATAATAATAATAATGATAA